GTCGTCCGCAATTTACTGACACTTTGCTTTACTTCGTAATATTTTTCTGGAACTTCGTGGACGAAGATTGGGCCCTGATTTGGTGGGTACCCAGCCGTAACAAAAACAGAGCCACGTGTTTGCCCTTAGCCAAGTACGTGGCTGGCGGAGCACAGCAACAATTAACGGGAACTCGGAAAGGGGGGGAGGGGGGGGGGGGGATGCAGGCATGGTTCAGTAGGCCTTGAGTCAAACGCACGGAGGCTGATCATATTGCCCAGCAAGCACCCCATGGAAAATGTCAGAGTGTGCTCAAGCCCCCGTCGCACCCTCCCCCGGGTTCTGGACTCTTACAAACTAAGGGTATAGGCAAGTCTTTTTTTTTTTTCATTATGCTACTTTCATTATTTGTATTTAAAAGGGAAACATCTAGACATAGAACGTTAGGTGATTGTCTGCAAACTTCGCAGGCCTGCGTCTTGCGAGATATTTAAGTCACATTGCGTTAATTTCAACGTCTACAGAAATATAAAATTATGCAAATATTGAGAATTTGTATGAAACGGTTGTTGAGCTATTGCCACAGAAACACACGATCAATAACGAAAGACTATAAAGTGCCTTACGCCATTTAAAAAGAAAACAAAAACTAACTTTTAAAAGAAATTCTAAATTTTTTTTAGTTTTTTGCACATAGGCATTTATCGCAGTATGTATATGATAAAGAAAGGAGGTGTAGCACATCCTCTCAGCAAATCTATTTGAGCGCGTCGATAAAAAAATCATTATTTAAAAACAAACATAAGATTGATTTAATTTGAATCGGCTTTATTTGATATACTCTAGATTAATTTGACTTAAAGGGATACTACGACGAAATTTCGGCGCTCATTTTTTTGTCTGTATGTGTTCAGAGGAGTAGCATCACATCGAACATACCAATATCTTGCTAAAAAAAGTCTCGAAAAGGAATTTTAAAACCAATTAAACGATTAGCAAAGAGCACCTGGTGGATGTCGCTAACGCCTCGTTTGTAATGCTCGTCTAGGAACCTTGACAGCTAGTGACGGAGGTTGTCTCGCCTCCGGCCACGACGAGAGAAGGGGGGGAAGGAGGAACTCCTTTCTTCCCGAGAATTCCTTTTGTGTGTCGCAGAAGTCGCTATTGTCCCCCTAGAAGATTATAGAAGATTAACCCGTCACTCAAAATTCGTACAAAAGCAGCCGCTTCGGTGGCTGGAACGACTAGGCCATCCTCTCGACGTCAGCCTCGCCGGAGCTTTGCTCGTCCTGAGACGACCTACGTCACGATTGCGTTGGATGTCACGTGCTCTAAGCTGGGCCTTCTCCGAGCGCTTGCCAGAGTGGGCCGTTTATAACGAAAAATACAGCCACCAGGATCAAAATACAAACGTGCGATTGTCATTTACGGATATTGTGGATCATATTCAACCTGTTTTTGAACACGACGGGAATATTTCAAATATTGTTGAAGTATCCCTTTAAATCACTGTAGCTGGAAACTGTGATTATCGGTAAATTAATTTTAACAGAGGAAAAAAACTTTTTTTTCACAAACTGAAGTAAATCAGTATTATTTGATTTAAATCGAGTTTGATTTAAATCAAACTTGCTCGAATTAAATCGCTGTAGCTATAAAAGTGTTTCGTTATAACTGGGAAAATCCGGAAGAAAGAATTATTATATTTTAACATTTTTAAAGTATATTTTAATTGTAACTTTTTATTGGTGTAAACCCTCCATACTATAAGAAAAGCAGCTTGATCTTTTTAGTGAAAAAATATTTGCTTGCAATAGTCCACTTTTTTTTTGCTTTTTTTTTCACTCGGTTTTGTTTGCTAAGAGACATTGCATAACTGGCGAACGAAGTGCAAAGTAGAAAGAAAGCTCAGCATCTGTTGTGCCCAAAAGACTTCGCCTTTTTGCTCGTGTTTAACTTGCTATTGCTATTCCTTTCTTGGTGTATCTCTTATTTAGGTACAAAACAAAGGCACATAGAAAATATGAAATGATAGTTAAACGGTAAATAAATATATTTTGTGGATTAGTTCTTTTTCAGGAAAGGTCTGATTTCATTCGTCGTAGTACAACATGTGTGATTTAAATCAGAATATAAATTATCTTGATTTTTATTCTCCATCCAGAGCTTTAAACATTACAGATCGGTGAATTTCCCGGAGCATTAAAAATTAAACGGAAGATAAATTACTGTATATTTCAACTTTTAAGTTATAGTAGTAGTTTGATTACAAACTCTTTTTGGTGTAAATTCCGCCATAATAGAACAAAAGCAAAGCAGTCTAATGTTTAGTTATTGAAAAAGCTCTATTTGTTTTTCGTATTTTGATTTGCTTGCAATAGGGCGTTGCTTATATTGTTTTTCTTTCGCGTTCGGATTTCCTTGAAAAGGGACATTATAGGCTGGTCAGTTGGGCGCGTTCTTTAGCCTGCTATATATATATTTTTTGCTGGATGAATATTTGATTTTGATACAAAACAAATGCACGTAGAAAACATTAAATGATAGAAACGGCAAATAAAACATTTTAACATATATATGGGAAAGGTTTGATTTATTTTATGCCAGTAAAAGAGGTGCGATTTATATTACGATTTAACATTTTTGTTCTCCACCCCGCTCTGCCTGGCCCCTTCGCGGCTTACAACTATAGAAGGATAGCTTGCTAGCTGGGCTGGTTGGTTGCTCTGTTTTTTTGAATATGACTTACAACTCGCAGGTAGGCTACAGCTCTAACCACCACGCGACCGCTTTGAGCCGCAACGTATAGTTATGAAGTTAAACGAGTCCCTGCGAAGCATTGCGAATACAGGAGACGCGAGGCTGGCTTTTGCGACATTTAAAATGTGCCGATATCAGCTCCAGAAAAGGACAGGCCATCGGCCTCCAGACAGTTCCGTGTGGTGCAATTCTCAGTCGGCACTACACTCGACTCCTACGCGGCTGAGGCACTGGGTTCAATCCCCTCAGCCGTCCGTCCTCCTTCCGTTACTATGGAATTTCAGTTGGTCGTGTTTGGGTTCCGATAACGATATCAGACAACGATATAATGCACGCGCGAATGCTTCAATGGAGTGCGGGACGTCCTTATCGCAAAGCAAAAACGATCACAGTTTTTGCTTGTCTTGTCGTTAGCCGATACCGGAATGTTTTACCGTATATACAACCTGGAAACTTGTCGCGTGTTCTGATCCCGAATATGTTTTGGATGCGGTACTCGGTTTCGCATTAAGAACAACCAGAGCCGTGTATAGAGAGAGTTTGGCCAATGGGAGGCGCGGGCAGAGCCAGGGCATGCACCAGACTCAAAAAGAGGGCTTGGCATGGTCTCTTGGCCAACCATTATAGTCTAAAAGATTCCGCTAGCGGTGGCAGCGAGAAACAGATTTTAATCGTTTAATAAGCGCGTAAGAGTTCAATGTACTAACCCTTCATGGTTGAAAGTAGACTGCACGTGATGTTTCGATCACGATCATCCAGAAAGATGTAAGAATCAAACGAATGTGCCGCTCGAACCCTGTTTTGCTCGGACAAGGTGTGACCGCTCGGACGGCAGATTCCCGGCCCTCGGCGCCTGGCGTATGGATTATGTCGATCCTTCCGCTAGTCGCACTCTTCCACCATGATTTTGGATGACCGTGATTGAAGTATCACGTGCACCACATTTTCAGTCACCGAGAGTTACTCCGACGCACTTATTAAGTTTGTCTCTCGCGACCACCGCCAGGGTATTATTTCAGGCTTCTGGTTGGCCACATTCGAATTTGTGAAGATGCCCTGGAACACGCCCAGCCCGCTTTCGGCCTATGGCGCCTCCTTATTTGTCTCCTATATATACTTCCCAATGAATGGTTAAACCCTCTACATATACGGCTCTGAGAACAACCGCAGGCGAGCTACTATCCCATTGAGCCAATTCAAGCAGCGGCAAAAGTGCACCGTCACGGCGCTCGTCTTTGGGCGTTTGCCGTCACCACCAGCACAACCAATCGCGCACAGAATGAAGCGCAGGATCGCGAGGCGTTTAATGTGCGCCGTTTGTTTAACCGGGCGCAGGAAATACACAAAAGAGGAGCATCGTGCTAATGCACTTTTGGTACGGCTTCATTAGGTCGTACCGACGTCTTCTGAGAAGAGGCCATAGCTTGATGGCGACCTTGATGCCATCGTTTTCAGTTTATCTAGTTTAGGTAGAGGCCCGAAGTCCCCCGGAATAATGAATTATTTTCAATTTTCACGTGTGCCTACTTTTTTTTTTTTTTTTGTGATTAGGTTTGTGGCCAGAGAGGGGAAGGGGGAAGCTCTAGCCGGCTCTTTTTTTTTTTTTTTTTCTTGCATTTTACAAACATATCGGTTCGAGACATTCACACGTATAGGCCCGCCGGATTTAGTCCATACCCTTCCAGGTTTGACACAGATGTAGTTTTCACGTGCAATTCAAAGCTGGGAGACCGGCGCAAGACGGTAAACAGAAAGTGACTCGATCCCGCCGCCCCGCTGGACCAAGAAACATGCTAACAGGCTCACCACGTGCAAGACTGAGCAGAACCTTTTGGGCCCATGTCCTGCGGACACTGAATACATTGGCCATACCGATCGCTGCGTAAACGACCAGATCCGGGAACACCACAAAGAAGTAGAGGACGCTGCACCCATCAATCAGCACCTGATGGACACGGAAAGACGGGAATGTCGCGGCTGTGCTCCTGACTCACGACGACGCTGGTAAATCTTGAATGCGTCGGAAGGGTGATTTTAGAAACTTTTCGAATGGTGACGAGCCCGCAAATCGTAGGCTCGTCGTCTCTTTTGTTCAGAAAGACCTCGGGGACCCGGCGGCTTGACTGATGATATTTATCCCACAATAAGCCCCCCCCCCCCCCCCCCCCCCCCCCGGCCTCATCCAATGCTTGGAAGTCGTGGCTTCAGAAAATAAGATTCCCCCCCCCCCCCCCCTCTAAAAAAAACTTCCTGGCTACGGGTCTGTTTGTTACCATATGGCACAGCGTGTCTTTATTAATGTAGAGAGTTTCGGTTCATGCTCCTCGAGGCAGCGACCGTTACGACGGCGTTTTCAACTTTGCGCCGAGGGATCTTTCCATCCACCAAAGCCTCGTTGAAGCTCCCGAGCGACAGCCAACGAGAGGCGGTCCTGACCTCTTGACGCGACAACCTGGACGCCCAATGGCAGGCCCTTGTCGTTCAGCACGACAGGACACGCGGTCACCGGAAGCTTAAGGATGCTAAGCAGACTGGTCATGCTCAGCGATTCGGGAAATAGGATGTCCTGGTGGTGAAACAGGGCGGCGCTCGTGGTTCCGGGAAGCAAGAAGACGGCATTGTCTCCGAGCAGGTTTTCGATGCGATGCTGAAGTCTCGAAGCCATACTCCATGCCTTGTCGATGAAGGCCTGCTGGTGAACTCGACGCATGCTGGAGACCTTAGACAGCATGATGGCGGCTGGGGTGTGTTTGCAGGCGCCCGTTAGGGTGCGCAACAGCTCTTTCATGTGCTGCATCTTCTCATCTTCCCGCTTGAAAACGTCGCCGAAAGGAGGTGCCTCGGACTTGATGTACGCCGCGAGCCAGATGTTGTAAGCGTTCTTGAATTCCTCGAAGTTGAGTTCAAAGTGTCGAAGATTTGGTCCTCGTGAAAGGTAGTCTACGGCCTAGAACACGAGAAAAGAACACGCTAAGCGATTGGCGGCGTGCGCGACCTACAGAGGGCGCTTCTCTAGCTATCAACATCCTAGCAGATCCTTCGGCTCATGGAGGTAAAAGACTTCTGGGAGCGACATGACGTCTCCAGAGGGAAAGCCGGGGGAGGTTTCCGGTTTGGAGGGACTCTTGCCAAACGACGACCAAGACCAAAATACGCTATTAGACAGACTTTGGCACTTTTGAACGCTATTGGACGGACTTTGGCACCCTTGGGGGCGTTCCCACCGAGCGCGACCTCTACTTCCGGCTTCACATGGGATCTTCTGGTTCGGTTCATTCCCAACATTCCTAAACACGGTCTCCTTGCGCCCCCTCTTGGCTATTCTCAGCAAAACGCAGTAAAATGATAATTTCAGCCAAACTACTGCAGAAATATTAAGTTCCCCGGGATATCTATAGAGGGCACTAACACACTCTTATTTAATACCTACTTGAACCTCAGGATTCTATACTTTTTGTTCCTGGGCCCGATCTAATATTGTTGCACTGGGTCCTATGGGCCACTCTGACAAATTTTTGAATTTCTTCTCACTGAAATGAAGAATCGTAAGGTTCCCGAGGAACATAATAGCTGCCGACTCATAGCACACACCGCAGTTAAAGTTTTGGTATTTTAAGTAATACTTTTTATTCCTCGAAACTTTCAAATTCGGCCCGCTTTTTGCCCCTGTAAAGTCAGCACTCCGCCGTGCACCAAGTAGCTTGCGGCCAAGCTACCTTTACATAGGCTTATCGAAAGAAGGATTTTTACGATGCGTTTGTGACAGTTTATTGACTAAGAATGTGGCGGTTATAATATGACTATATTAGATGTTTACAATCAAAATTTGTGCCCTGGATTTCAAATATAAGCAATTTGCTATGTAGGTCCAGAAACACTTGCATTGCATATATCTTGCTTTGAATTTGCCTCTGTACGCAAAGTTTTAGCTCGGTTACAGACACAAACTGAACAAAATTTTTTCAGGCGTGTATAACTAGAAATAACTAGAAATATAACTAGAACGGCGCGCCGCTGGCCGTTCGATTGTGTGTCTTTTAGCTGTCCTATTTTATTTATACATATATACGCGTATAAATAAAGAACACAACGACAACGACGTAAAGAGGATGACACACCGGGCGACGGCGCTGCCTTAATTTGAGCCCTGGTTCCTTGGAAGCTTCTACTTTGACTGGGGTACCTCCTTGGTGCCTGATGCTTCGACCCCAGTGGACCCCCTAGTGAGCAACAGCGCCATCATGTTGCTGGGGATCCTTCACGCTCCGATCGAACGGCGTGCCAGATCCCCATGGCTTGCTGCAGACCCGCCTAACCCACCTCCACGAAATCTGAACTTCTGCGAATCGGACTGCCATCCTCCCCAATACCAACAATCCATGTCGTCGTCATCATGCATGTATATACTCATCACATAATCATGTTCACTAGACGCGGCACCGCGGGCCTCCATGGTACGGGCTGCTGCCATTCCGCTGTGCCGCGGCTCCTCAGAGTCAAATAAATAAAGACTAAAAACTAAGGAGTAAAGACAAAATGCTTTGCTGACCAACAGCCGGTGGTAAGTAATAACAATAGTGTTTCCTTGTTTAGAGGATACACATTCCAAAACTACACCATACTAGTGGCGCACATCACTGAAATAACATACGCAATACATAAAATAAAAGATTGTCTCTTGAACGCAAAATGGCAAAATACACATAATTGGGGAGAATTTTTTGTTTCTAAGAGCCAAATTCAGAAACCAAAAAAACACAAATGTTTGCTGACACTCGGGGTACATCGTGTGCATAGTTTCAAAAAAGTATCAAACGAAAACACCACGCGACACATTTGGCGTTGTTTCACACCTCGAGACACTGGCTTAATTTGCACTGGCGCACCGACCGCTGGTGTAACTTAGCTCGAGCGCGTAACTTTGGCTAATGCATAGACGCCATTTTACCGCTCAAGTCACGCACCGAGTGCGCGAGAGCGGCACGCGCTGGCACATTCAGGGCAACAATGGATGTCTTCACCATTAGATAGACAGACATGTAGGCACCCTAGGTTGCTCTAGGGTGCCTGCATGTCTGTCTGTCTCAGGGTGAAGACATCCATTGTTGCACTGAATGTGCCAGCGCGTGACGCTCTCGCGCACTCGGTGCATGACTTGGGCGCTAAAATGGCGTCTATGCATTAGCCAAAGCTACGCGCTCGAGCTGAGTGACACCGGATTGCGCGCACTTCAAAAGGCATGAAAAACAATTGAGCGGAAAAATGGCTGAGATGTCTCCACTCAAGCAAAGGCGCGCGTGTGTATGAAGGCACTCTAGGTTGCTCAAGGTTGATACGCCACGTGTGGTGAGAATCGGGAACTAAAACAGCGTGTCCCAGAAACCCGGCCATGGGCTTGAGCAACACCACCTAGACAGAAGGCCACACGCGTCATCATAGTCAGATCGATCGAGGCGAGAGATTGGGCACGAGTGCTGCGTCAGTGTTCGGCTGCGGCTCGTGGCCAATCAGCGCGTCGAAGGTCGGGCTCGGGTCCAATAGCCGACCGAGCGCGATCCGACTGTGATGACGTTTCATAGAAGAAGAGGAAACCATGCGGAGGCCTTCTGTCTAGGTGGTGTTGGCTTGAGCCGTTATGTCGCCTCTCCTTATGCCTACCTCCATGCTTCGACTCGTCAGCTCACTTCATATGTTGTTTGGGTAGCGCGACGGAACCTGTTTCACGCGCTGTGTGTTTTATTTTGGAGGAGTGATACTTGTGATAATATTTTGTATATATATATTGAAAACGTGGCGCGCAGAGTCGTGAGCAAGCACTTTTCGTGCTAGAGGTGCATAGAAGCTCTCGGATAGCGATACGCTCTATAAGAAAGCGCTGGCTTTACCACCGTTGAACGGGCACCACGGTTAACGGTGGAGTTCTTATTTTATCGGAACACGAGGAAACGGAGGTGGGAATAGCTGTAAAAAGGCGGGCCAAACTCGAAAACCTATGGCATATATGCAGTAAATACTTGAATGAAGGCGTCTTCGTGTTCCCTGTTGCGCTGTTTTCTGCGAATACTGGTCTCTTATTAGTTTAAATTTGATTTCTCGCTGCATTTTGCAAACCAATAAACATGTTTCCCCGAAACAACTGGTTGGAAGAGGCGGTGGCTGAACTGATGGAGTCGTTTCAATTAAATGCATGATAAGTCGTCCGTTTGGAGTAAAACGTGCGAGACCTCTTCCGCGATCGACGCCTGTATAGATCTGATGAGTCACTGACACTTCGCTAGGCATCCCACGAAATGAGCTGTCCACGGTACATCTGTTATAGACTACGACCGTTTTTGTGTTTGTTTTTGTGGACCCAAACAGTATTTGTGCAAAATCTGCGGAGAGCTTCTCAGCAAGCATTATAAATTTACAATAAATCCTTAATGAAAATTGGAAAAAAAAAGCAATCAATCATTTAACCCTAATTTGTCGGTTGAAGCACGGAAAGTTTTTAAAGTTATGGGAACTGCTGCTTTTCCTTCGAGCAGCAGTCGCGATGTCGCAACCTCCTTTGCCCCGCCCAGCAAAAAAAAAGAAAAAAAAAAACACTTAGATTTGGTTAGCACGGTATCGTGCGAGCACTCACCAGCAAGCTCCAGCCGAAGCTGGTACTGTGCCACGCAGCACAGCAGCGTGAGTGCACGGCTGAGATAACAGCACGTCTTACGCTCTTGTAAATGCAAAAGATTTTTTTTTTTTTGCAGGGGTTTTTACAGGTGGAACGGAACAAGCGTCACACACGCCGTGACACGCGCCGCGAGAACTGTCAAGTTTCAGACATGGCTTTGAACATTTGAAAGGGTGTCTTTAAAGACACTGTAATCCGGTAGAAACGCTCGTAAACACGTCATACACGTTCTTTAAAAATGAGTTGCGAGTCATCAATTGACATAGACGCGAACTAACATAACCAGTCTGTGCGATTACTTGACGCGTCGTCTGCTCGAATCCCACTCGCTACGTCACATCAGAGCTCCTGCGCGGTGGCGCCACCAGGGGTTTCCCCACAAATTGAAATTAGGGAAGCTGTTTAATTTTTTTTTTTTTTTTTAGGGGGGGGGGCGGGGGTTAGAGAGGTTAGAGAAGGGCATCGAGAATAGAGGAGTCCTTGCGAATTAAGGTCCGTTCACACTCTTGCAACCGAGTACGACCGAGAGAGACCAAACCGGTTTTTAAGCCTCTTGCGATCTCTTAGGACCAGCTCCGCTCAGCGCATCCGGTCCCAAGAAGTCTTTCTCGGTCGTACTCGGTTGCAAGAGTGTGAACGCGCCTTTAAGGAGGTGCCTTCAGAACCCCCCCCCCCCCCCGCCCCCCCCTAGAGGGTGTGTATACGGAAATCACTGGGCGCCACCGAAACATCTCGCCGCCAAACCAGTTAAAAGACAAGGACAGCGCCAACCTCCCCCCCCCCCCCCCCCCCTCCCCCATTTCCAAAACGTCATCGCTACATCGCCGCCCCAGCTCATCTTGCAGCCTCTCACAAGTGCGACGCACGGGGCGGCGCCAAGGCGGACGCGTCCCTCGCCGAGTTTCGGCCTGTTTGCCGCTGGGCGCCGGTCGGCATACGCGAGTTCACGTGTCCTAGGTCGTACTGTGCCGAGTCCGTACACTTTGCGTAGTCGCCTTCCGCGGGCCCCATATACGTACCTTCCGGACCGCCATTTGGGCGTCGTTGCTCACGCAGCTTATGTACCTGCTTCCGTCGTTTACCATGTAGTAGATAGTCAGCTTGCCAACGTCAACCTAAAGCGTAAGACCAAACAAATAGGAAATGGGACTTAACTCTGTAAACAAAGCCCATGTACGCACGCTGCTGTCTAAGAGCTGGGGCCTTGTCAAGCTGCACGTGTTGCAGCTTTTTGCCCCAGCTACCATATTTCCTGGTGAAATAAAAATGAAATGATTGATTGATTGACTGATTGACGAACCAGAAATGCTATAAGTCATTTTACGCATATTCTTGCCGCGATTACAAGTATTCTTATCCTTTCCAGTCATAAAGGACATTGTAAATAAGCCGAGCTCTAATTGCGTGATTAATGACCTATCTTTAACTGTCAACACACCCTTGAGGTATGTGGTCTTACTGCAATATTTAATTTTTGAGTCGTTAACGACTAGACCTATTGACAATGTGTATTTTAATCTCCTTCACGGAGATTTACAGATTCTTGTTAAAATAACGCAAAAAGCTTTTTTTTTTCAGAGAATCCACCAGCTAGAAGTCTTTTTGTGGTTTCTAACAAGTGGAGAGTATGTGCCATCATCTGACCAGTAACTTTAACCCTAAACGTTATCTACATGTATGTACTTTGATTTTCACCTTTTTGGTAGCCCGGATGAGCTGATAATATAAGTAGTAAGTAAATCAATAAACAAATACTCTTGACAGATGTTGGCAAGAGTCAAGTAACGATTCATATAGCTAGGTTCTTTTAAATTATAGTTTTAGATGATTGTTGAAAATTTGATTCTGCTATGGTCGATAACAGATCATTGCTATCAACTCCAGAGATGAACCGTCAAATATAGCGCACACGGGGCGACATTCCACTGTCAGTAGGCAGATCGTCCTCCGCCTGACAGCCAGGGCCTTTGTTACGTTTAATATATTGTCATTTTTATGCTTTGTTTATTTTTTGCGACTTAATCCTCGTCCTTGCGGTGAAAAAGTACCACAGAAAAGATACAAGAGCGTTGCTGTTTGGAGCCCAACTGTCGTTTTAGAGTCTGACATTGACTTACGTCTTTGTCCAGGAGTAGTCTTGATGCATTAGGACCTGCCATGATCTTGAGCATGGTAGGAAGGTCTTCGGCGTATCTACATATGGGGCCCGTGCAGTTGTAATCGGAGAGAGTGCCCCCCCACTTTGGGAAGAGTCCATCGTTGGACACAATGCCTGCACGAGAACCAGCCCTATAAGCATATGTGCATCATTCACAGGTTCCACAGAATCCGGTGACCCTATTCAGTCCACCAGACTGTTGGCTTCTGCTGATAAGTGCATGTCGAGAGCAAACTTGCATTTATGATCCTCAACTTTCCTGTACACAACGTTGACCTCCATAGCTTTGTGCGATGATGTCCATTACGTTAAAGGCGAGCATTCACCAGATTCATGACACACCGCCAAAGCCGCATGCTGCTCATATTTCCTTACCGCCAGCTTGTGTCGATGAGTACGTTTTTTTATATACATTCTATACGGAAAACGTGTCCAACAGGTTGGTGGATTGACATTTGATTTCTTGGATGGTTCCTAATGGCTCCTGGGTTTGACAGCGCGTGCTGTGGTTAAGAGCGGAACTTAATTCACTTCACCCAATCGCCAGTTGCTCTCTGGGTCATGCCAGATAATATCCTTCGTTAGTCTGGCACGTGGGCTCCCCAACATGTACTTGAGTGTTTCATTAGAGCGCAAAGTTAGCCTGCCGTGAAATACAGCAACTTGTGTTATTGCTGTAAAGGGGCTTACAAGCTACGACTATTTACCATTTTTACATGCAATTGTGATGTACAAGGGCCGTTCTTATCGAAACCTGCGGGACGTACAAAGTTTATGTCCATAAAACCTTTTACTGCCCGGGTCTTGATCCTTTAAATTGTCTCAGTATCCTTTTTCTGCTGCCTGACAATAGTGGCATCCATTCCTGCTATTTCGAACAGTGCCCGTTTCAACAGCATCAATCACTTACCTGCGGTGGGCTTGTGTCCGAAGAGACCGCAATAGGTAGACGGCAATCGAATACTTCCAGCGATGTCTGTGCCTATGCCCTGCAAGGATCCCGCGGCAGCGATCAGGCTTGCCTCACCTCCTGACCCGGAAGAAACCCAGTGGTATACCATTGGAGCGCTCTGTCAGGTCTTGGCTTTCCTTTTGTATGCAACTCTACATGCTGACGACACGCAAAGAAACCCGGGGTCCACACTATTTCCGGTGAGCTGTAACTGTAATAGGAGACAGTTTTTTTTTTTTAAATGATACCGTTACGGGCGACTTTTTGCAGAGATTTTCTCCTCGTAGGTTGTCGTCGCCACGCGTGCGAAGAATGGAAAAACCTTTTTTTTTTCTCTCCCCTCTTGCCGCAACGAGAGGGAAGTCGGGACTTCCCGTCGGTCGTGCTACGCGAAGAGGGCAGATTTGGCGTCCCGCCCAGGAATTATGCGACGAAGGGAGACTCATTGTGTCGTCTGCTTGAGAGACTTGTTTTCAAACATTACTCGCGTTATGAGAAATCCAACTTTGGCCGTATTCTATAGAACGTACCGCTGCTCCCTCCGGGAGTGCGTCGGGTGTCGTACGGGTTGCTCGTCACCCCCTGCATTCTGTTGTACGTGTCCCCCCACATGCACAACTCGGGAACGTTGGTGAGTGCTAGCGGAATGGCCCCGGCGTCTCGCAGGAGCCTGACGACAGCGGCGTCCCTCTGGGCCAGCTGTTCCCGGTAGTACAGGGACCCGGCATCTTGCCGCATGCCTGCACGACGTAGATGTACCTCGATGGGCTGAGGTACGTAGATGTACCTCAGCGGATTACTGAAAAGGCGATCTGCCAATATCACTCGGCAAGGCCTGTACATTAAGTCGTCCTTACTGGATTGCTCCCGATCCGCCCCGAGCAGCAAACACGCCTAAACTTAACGAGAGCCGAGGCAAAGCGCTAGAGGCGTCCGACTTGGCGCCGCCTTGTGCTAACGGTGCGAGACGCTGCGTGAATCCATTATAGTGATGACGTCACTGCAGGCCTTGTCTTATACGTGGCATTGGATTAGGGAGATTCCCAGAATACTGCGTGGGTTTGCTATAGTGATGATGTCACGGCAGGCCTTGTCTTCTAGGTGGCATTCGATTAGTGAGATAGCCAGAACACTGCGTGGATCCACTATAGCGATGACGTCACGGCAGGCCTTGTCTTCTAGGTGGCACTGGATTAGTAAGGTACACAGAGGGAACACAAAGTCCACAAAACACAAAAGAACGTGGGCCCACTTGGCGAGTAAACAAACACACGAGGTGCGCAAGGAGACGAAGTTGCCCTCCGTATAGTTACAGAAACGTATCATATATATATATATATATATATATATATATATATATATATATATATAACTGTAGAATTACGTTGTAATAAAGCGCCTGAACTATATTCGAAAGTGTTTTAGCCAAACATTTATTTTTCGTTTTTAGCAGGTCGGTAAAATTACAACTTCATAATTACCAACTTTCTTCTTCTTTTTAGGTGAATTTATCTGCGAAGAACACAGTGCTTATGAAAATTGAGAAGAAAAAGAAAAAGGCTTGCGTTGTCCACCAATGCAGAGGCTAAATGTGCGCGTCTGTCTATTAGAAATGACCAAGCATTTAACATATGTGTTCCAATGCCACATGACTTGGTAGAGTTTCCCGTGTCTGATAGCGCAGTAACACGTGGCTTCACGTGATATACGAAAACCTGCAAGCACGTTTATTTTAAAATGTTTTTTAGTTTAGCATTAATTGTTTAGTTGTCTTAAAATAGCGGACATCGAACCACCGGGAGGTGCGACACTCCTATTGTTTCCCCACGTATGCCAGCTCTCAGAGTTGACCTTGGATTATTCTCAGGGACTACACCGACGGGCGGTGTCCGCTTCCACATGCTTTTGGCTTGATAGCGTGGACAGCGCGATGCGCGCGTGCGTTCTTTCTGACGCGGAGTAGGTGAAGTTTTTGAGCCGTGTGCTCACTGTCTAATGCAAATGAACGGAGTACAATGCATTTCCGCATAGTAAAATATTTGGCGCTACACTCACCTTTGATAGCGACGCTGTTCTTCGCCGTGAACGGGACGCCCAGAAGCGGCTTCTCCCGTGCCAACTGTTCCGGCGTTCGGGTTCCCGAGCGAACAAGCTGGTCGCACAGAGCAGCCTCGCGGAGCGCATCGTCGAACCTGTCGGCCACGACAGCGTTCAGCAAGGGCTGCACTTGAGAGATGCGCTCGATGTACGCCTGAACCACGTCCGAGCTCCTCACCTGCGCTCGAGATTGCAAGGTTCCCGGGCCGTTCACACATGGCAATAGGCGACTTGCGTTCCGGCGCATCTACTGCCGTAAGTGATCGCTCCTCAGGTACTGCACTTCATGAATTAGTATGGACTCTGAAGATAAAGGTCGTTGTCAATTTTCGTTTCTTTTTTATCAAATCTCAGGACATAATTTTAAGACAGTCCAAGACCTTTGAGTAGGGGAAGGAACGGACCTTCTTTTCTCTTCCAGTGGAGTGGTGTCGGTGACACCCTTCTAAAGGCTTCAAGCGCCATAGCGGACACCAAAAGACACGCGTCAGAGTTTGCGATGCTGGGAGTTGACCTTTCCTTAAACTAATTCTGCGCGCTGTCTTTCACACATATATTGATTGCAGAATATTTTCTTCAACAGCGGGAACATCTCTTTTTTTACCGCTCACCACAGTCTCAGATGCGAAGAGCTATCCTTCGTTGTTTGATAGCATTACGTGATCCGAATACTAATTCTATTTCGCTCGGAAGGCTCCCAAAGCAATGTCGCGCATTTGCCAATGGGTCCCGTTGTAGGTTCATCCCGCTTCTTCGCCATGTTGTGGTATTTGTGGCCAGCTGCTTGTTCAGCGATGTCGGCTGTTCCGCCATTGAACGGTGCGTTTTCAGAACTTCCAATAATCGACACGAAACTCCTGCTTCGGGTCGCAATGCCCTCAGAATTCCTCCACCCCACCAAATTTATTTAGCTCTGGAGGACGCCTTGGCGCGAAACGCTCTTTTAACACTTGCGAATTTTGTCCGCTCAACGTGCTCGGCTTGCCTGACCTCTCCTCTCCGTATCTTGTCGGCGAGCTGAGTGGCCGTCTCGAGGAGGAGCCTGTTACGGACCGGGGGAAGCTGCTGCGACTTGGTGAAGCCGAACCATAGCCGGAACAGCGCATGGACAACCGTTCTCCAGGCGTACAACAGCAGCTCCAAAAGGAAAACTACCAACATTTCTGCGGCAGATTGTTTTTATTTTTTTTTTATCTGCAAAAGCAAAATAAAGTATCAGTCTAGGACGTTGCACGCCGGAAGGCTCCTGGTAAATAGTTCACTTCAAAGCAGCAGACTTACCGAGTTGGAAGCTCTTCTTCGTCAGTGATATGGAGCGCCACGTTTTTAACTCTATTGCGCAGCGTGTTGACGTTCGTATCTTTAATCGATGCAATCCCTTTATCGCGAACTGTCGAGCAAACGCAAAATTATCGCTGCCCTGATGCATGCAGGTTCTATCTGCTGTCGCAGCAGAGAGATATCTTCGCGAGTAGGTTGCGATTCAACTATCGGTGGCATTCCCCCAGGTGAAGAGGCCAAAAACAAAACGTGCACCGAGAACATGGCAACCCTGCGGCACATAATCAGGGGCTACAAAGGAGAAGACAGACAGAAAAGGAAAGCGATCGAAGCCTCCCAAGAAAGGGGGCAGACTAAGGACGCTAGACGGGTGGATCCGACCCAAGGACTAGCGAGAGCACGCAAACGACATCCTGAAGTGGCAACCCGGAAGCGGGGGAAAAAAGGGACGTACAACTCAAACCTCCAAACTTTGTGTGTTTGTCCCGTTTTACCCCGTTCCTGTGTTATCATGTCAGTATTGAACCAGCTCGCCTACCCTCTTGCTTTAGTTTCAAAAAGACATCCACTACTCACTGGTGAATTACATAAGAAGATCTGGGACCCATCACTTCATCTAGTCCCTACATTACCCACGGCAGGCGATCCTTTGATACTAATAAATGTATGTCTTCACTCGCTCGCGCTGCTGTATATAGAAGATGCAGCGCAACGGGACAGCCTTTGACACAATCGCTGCTTAAATATTTTATCGAATGCAAGCAAGGTGCGATAGCACTGGTAGGCTTTTTAACGACTTGAACTTTGAAATGCTTTTACGCCTACTGATTGGTTTACTAATACGGAGTTACTACCCTACTACGTTGTTTCCGTTTTTACACAGCGGAAGGGAAGGGAAATAGAGGTGAATGCTAGCAACCCCCCCCCCCCCCCCCCCCACACACACACACACACTCGCGTGGCGCAACTCCATTGGTTGTACGCGCTATGACGTCAAACCAACAGCAGCATTCCGCTGCGGACGCTTTCTCCCATGTTTTCGATATGGTGTGACCAGCACCAACACGAGCAAGCAAGACACGGTTCACACATAAAATTGTCGTTTCAAAAGCGTTTCACCTCTCCGTTATCATGAACAATGATATTATTTTTCCATCATATCTCTTCTGGTCGTCTTCCGATCTGTCTCGTGGCAAACGACACCCAACCGATATATTGCGACGAGTTATGCGACGTGTCGGCTTGTAGAAGATAAAGATGTTTGCACGGCCCAAGGGCTCGAGAAAAAGGGGGGGAGGCGTTTGATTAATTCTCTAACATGGGGATCTAGATCCGGCTTGAAATTTTAAACCATCGCCTTCCTGCGGGTCGGATCGGGTTCGATTTGATGCACTTGATTAGCGAATCAAAGTGTTTATATGAGCCGATTTGATATGCTTACTCGATTCTATGGTTCTTTTCCAGAGATATTGGTTCTAGATTAAATGGATCGGGTACACACACTTTCTCCCTTCCATCTGGCCGAGCAGAGATGGGAGATGGTTTCATTGCATCACCTTCTGGGCTGAAGATAACCCACGATGGGTACAAAGGCGAAGTTTGGGGGAGCCGTATCTCGGTCACACGTAGCTGGCGCTTTGGGTGTTGAACGGCTTCAAATCCAGTCGCGCGTCTAGGCTGCAGCACACATCTGGAAAAAGGTGGACCCGCTACTGTCGCTTCCAAGCGCAGCTAATGTGTGTAGCTTACCGCGTGTGCCATATGCTTTGCCAAACCCTTCCGCGTGGCTACGGTAAACACTGGCAGGTGGCGCAAACCGCCGCCCTATTCAAAGTGTTTAGCCTCATTCGTCCATCCGTCGGCGGCTTGTAATCGGCTCCAGATCACATGGGCGCTTGTTCAGGCTGCGAGTTGATGGAGTGGACGCTGCTCGTTTTTCTCGACTTTAGTTCTGCAAATGTCATCGCGCAGAGAACATAAGAAAAGATCTAGCGCGTGTTTAACATCTTAGGAATGTATAATTCTAGGCACTATTTACTAAAAGTAGAAAAACTGCTGCATTGCACCTTTAATCTCTGCACGAGGAATATCCTTGTGGGACACGCTGTGTTAGCGAACGTCCCCCACTTTTTTTTGTCTGGGGCGCTCGCCCCGCAGTTTCCTTTGTTGCTGATGCAGGTGTGGTACCTTTCATGCCGATAAAATAGTTCGGTGACCGATAGGGACGGGAACATATTGACTCCCCTTGCACATTTTGGCTATCACTGAGATACCGGCTATCGTTTTTTACAACTCACCAGACACGTGGAACGAAAGAGTTCCGAGCAAAGTGATGCACCTTGATAGCGTTCAGAGCTATGCTTCCGCGTCCTTCCAAAAGCTGCATTAATGGCGTCGAGTGCCACCAAGAGCGTCGGTTTGGTCAGCCTCCCACGATTGGTCAAACGCTCTCTATGACGTTTTTAATAGGGTGAATTCTAGTTTCCTTAATGGAAATAAGAATTCCGGACCATGAACCTTGACGGTGTTTGTTTAGGAAGCCGTGACTACAAGCTTCCACTGTGCTTTTTACACTCCATCGAAATTGTCGCTGGCGATCGATAATCATAGTTGTGACGTCACAGATACGAACCGCAAGAGGGAGTCACCGAAACATCTCGTCGCCAATAGAGCCACCAAATCCGCTACACTTCAGAGTGATGACACTTCAACTGTCATTTCTTAAAATCATCGTTGACAGATATCTCTAAGCGTCATATGAAACCACGTGAAACGGTTTTCCACAGAAATGTTAAAATGTAGGGTCTATTTCCCCGGCGGCGGGAGAATAATGTCCCCGAAATTCTACCGGCAATCTCCTCCCATTGGCCCATCGACAGCTCAGTTTAGCTTTTTTCTGTAATGAGCCGCCCCAAACTGTCGCCGCGCAGCGGCGAGTACGGTTGGGCTAGGAGGGTTAACATTTCTGTAATGAGCCGCCACAGAATGTCGCTGTGAACCGGCGTGCACGGTTGGGCCAGGTAGGTTAAAGGGATACCAGCGAAATTTGAAATATACGCGTCGTAGGCACATCGGGAGGGCCAACAAAGGCACGATCGAGTGCAAGGAGCATCCGAGCTTGCACGCCGTACAGGCTCATTGAGCGCGTTGGCGAATTTGTTGCGAATTCATTGTACGGATGCGGCGTGCCTTTAGAAGACGTTCCTACACTCTGAAGAGTCTATTTGACCGGTGCGGTACCACCATTAACAGGGGTCTTCAGTGATTTGAATAAGAAGTGGTGGTGTTTGCGATCAGAGAGCAGGGAAAGTGCCAGCTTGGCTCTAGCTCCAGTGTTTGGCTCCTCCGAACTCTACACACAGCAAACTTCGAAAGACGTAAAGGGAATGAGAGGAAAAGAAAAAGAAAGAAAGGAAAAGGGAGCTGCTGAAAAACGCGGGAAAAAAGAAATTTAGTTTGTACCCATCTTTTGAAAAATGTTTAACGAGTCTCCGAATCGTTCCGTTAGCAGTGACGAGTTCATCGGCGACTCGACATATCTTGTCAGCGTTTGCACTGAGGTTCTAGCGGAGCATCCACAGCCGGGTGAACACCGTCAGAAATTAGGTGCTTTTAATCGCTGACGACGTTGCATTTGAAAGCCCGCAATGATTGTGCCGTCAAAATTACGCTCTCGATGCTTTTTTTAGGGTATAGTGGAGAGTGTTTACCTTATTTCAGCGCTGTTGTGAGATGCGACACGGACGTGCGAGGAGAGTTAATTCTGATTGCTTCTGCTACGCGCAAAACAAAAAAGAAAAAAAAAAGTTGCTGCATTCGTGCCCAGTCTAGAAGTTGAATTGTCGGATCCTGCGATTCTTGAAGCACCTTGGTTAACTTAGCTGCCTATGGAGTTCCAGGTGCTAGTCGATGTCTATTACTACGGAGTCGTCCCAATCGGTAGCACTTTAGTACGGGAAAGATGCGTACGAAAGCTGACATGGCACGCGGTTGACAACTATGGATGGTTGAGTGGAGCTTGATACATCTCAAGTAACTTTACGTTAGGTAAACTCGGCTATCCTCAGCAGAACATTAATAACTGCTGCGGTTGTCTTTGCGATAGCGACTGAAGCTCCCTTCCAGTTCTCTCCGGGATCCAAAGTGCTTGAGAATAATTCAATTTCCGAGCTTTCGTGATTTGCCTATTTACCAGATGGAAGCTCCAGCACGGCTAGGTTTTCTCAAAAACAAAAAACTTATAACTTCATGGATAACTCCCTGCCCTACATTTATCAAAGGTATGCACTGAACGTATACATTTATCGATGCTTGGGATCGCAACTTGAGCAGTGCTGCTGAGCCTGCGGTAGGAATATCCCGATATAAAAATGCAGATATTAACAGCTCAGATTGTCAAGTTCAATAATGATGAAGTTTTAGGCAAGTCGTCTGAAGGACCAGTTGTGATCATATTGGATAGCCTGGTTAAAAGTACCCCCTTGCACGTGAAAGAACGCCATGTGGCTTTTGGAGGTCCACTTTATGTGTTTCCAAAACGAGCGCGAAGATCCAACTGCGGTTCACGCGAAAAACCGCAGAATTATTGCCTAGAAAATGAAATAAAGATGGAAGAACCATCGACACATAGTTTATTCAATCTTGTTCACAAAGTGCACTGCTGAAATCAGCGCTTGGCGTAGGCCTTGAAGAAATCGATCCCCTTCCGGTTGATCTCTTCGAAGTATGGGAGCTCGGCCTTGAGGTTCTCGTAGTAATCCTTCAGCTGAGGGTAGCCATCAAGGCTGTAATCTGCAATCTGGGAACAGAAAATTCGCAGTGGCATGTTACAAACTAGATAAAACCGGTGATATAAATAGAGACAAAGAAATGACGCCACGCGGGAGCCATGCACTTTTTATTCTACTCTACTTGCACAAAATACAGCAAGTCTTTGTATTCTTATTGTATATAGCCGTGCCGCGGTGGCAAATCAGGTGAGCGAGGCTTTATCTAAAATATATTTAATCGTGCGAGCAATCCACGAACCGATTTATTTCTAGGAGCGGGCGTAAGATATGTGGAGCGTACTTCAGTGAGTGTGAGGGTGCCGAGAAGGGCGAAGTCGGCGAGCGAAAGCTCGTCACTGGCCATGTACTTTCGACCGACCAGGAAAGTCTGTACGAACGTGAGCTCCTTGGCCATGGCAGCTTCCCGCTCTGGATTGTACGGCTGCTTGTGCATCAGCACGGGGTACTGGAATGCACATAAAGAGATCATTTAAAAATAACTGCGAACACCATGGCAATTGGTACGCTCAGTACTGCAAAATTGAGCAGTCAAGGGGTTTCTTTGAGCGCAAGTTATTGAAGCTTGAAATGAACCGTGGCCCTCCCTGCGTCTACCCTACACTCTCAGAAAAAAAAGGGAGTATTCTTACACCATTTGTACCATATAAGACACCCCAAAACTTCAGTTCAACTTACAGCGTTCTGAGGTCGAACCGACGGTACCATGTTACGGACTACAAAACAAAACAAAAATAAATAAATAATCGGGTTTTTTTTGGCCCTACTGCAGAACCTCAGTGTTTTTTTTTTCTGTGGTCTTTGTTACGTACTTTAGCTGTTTACTAAGTTATATCGCACCGTTACCATGCCCCTCGTAAATTTTGGGTTCGACTGTAGTGCGCTGTACGTCGAATTGAAATTTGTGGGTGCATTATATGGGACAAAAGGGTGTATCAGACGACACCCTTTTTTTTAGAGGGTATGTGCTGAATTTGGTTCGCAACAGCAGAGCTATTTGTGCAGAATGAAGCAATCGACTGAAGAACGTGCCATCGAAGTGCGATAATAGGGTGCTTTAGTAGATCGTTCTGATAACTCCTAACAATATCAGATACTCCGCTGATGCCTTTGCGAATGCATAGTCTTGTTATCGGAGGCATCTGAACGACCTACTAAAATTTCTTAGTAAGGAGTTTTTGTGGAATGTTTCAGTCATCACGCAATGCCCTCCGTAAACCGATACATGATCCGGAACTTTCCAAGGATACTGGCGCCCATGCGCAGTGGTGGTGTCCTTGTTTCCGAGAGCGTACCGAAGTGGGAAAAAAGCGTCTACGAAAAAGCCCTGATCAGTCAGATAACGTAATCGGATGATTTAAAAACAAACAATGACCGCGTTCTTGCGTATCCACTTCTCCCTCAATGAAGGAAAAGCGTTGGTAGCCTGAACAAGACTTTACCCCTTTGGTCGAATTCTGCAAGCCATATGCGTCGGCGCTACGAGTGTTCTGCATTAGGCTGCGAGAGCTCTCAAGCCATGCCGATAGATGGCGCCATAAACCAAGGTTTTCTTTGCGGTCATTAGTTTGAATCATACTGGCTGCATGACCTGACGTGCCTTCTCTAAGCCAGCTGAACTATACAATATTGTTGTCCATCGATCCACCCACAGAAAACTTCACTATGTCGCATCGTAAGAACTGCTGTCAAAGCGCCGGATAGCGTTGAGTACAGTATTAACGGTATATATTTTCAACCTGGGAAGCATGTTTTAACTATACATTTAATGCACTATCGAGTACGAATGAAACATTGGGGCGCGTGGCCTTCGGTACATGCTGCGGAGCCCAGAGGTGAAGAGTTCGGGGTAAGGTCCCACCGCTCCTTTCCACTTTAGCGGTCGAACGCTGGAGAGAAGGTCGTCTCCACTCCAGCGTTCGCTTTGCTGAAGTGGAAAGGGGTGGGAGGAGCTTCCCCTCAACTCTTAACCTGTCACAAAGAACTGATAAAACTGCGGAGTAGAGAGAGGGGTTGCGAGGGTATGCACATCGAAGTATGCGCCCACCCTCGCAGCCCCCTTTCCATCCCGTAGTTTTATCAGTTCTTAGTTGCCTCCCCATCATGAATCGTAGCCCATGCACTCTGTTCGCATTTCATTCGTACTGGATGGTACTTTTTGCTTTAGGGGTCTGATACGGTTTACAAGCTAAAAGTATCTGTAAGATATGTTGGCAAACTGCCAACGTGTTTAGAGCGTAGAATGATATGTACTTTCCGAAGTGAAATATTTGTGTAGTTTTAGCGTAATTCTTTTTGCCAGAGGGAGGGGTGGGGTTAACGCGAGCACTTAGCGTGACGTACGAAGTAGTCCCCGACTTTCTTGTAGAAGGTCCCGATGTCGTACATGAGGATCTTGTCGACCAGGGCCCGCTCACGGGCTCCTTTCGGGTAAACCGGGCTGTCCGGTGCGTACTTCCTCACCAGGTACGTGATGATGGCGCGGTTAAAGGGGATAATGAATCGGCAAAATTTTATAAAAATACGCCGGAGTTTTATAATTTAATTACACGGGCATTCATCACCGCAGTTAAGTGTGACAGGGGTCAGACTTAAGTGCGCTCAAGGGCGCCCGACGGGCGTCCTAGACCGCAGTTACGCTTGTATATAATTAGCAGCTACTGCCAACTGTACATTATAGTTATGCAGGTACCCTTAACCGTAGTTACTCTTGAGTATGCATATTAGCAGTTACTGCCAACTATACCCTACTTACGCTGGCACGCTTAACCGTAGTTACGCTTAATTATGATTAGCAGTTACTGCCAGCTTAGTTACGCGGGCACCTTTAACCGCGGTTAAGTGCAACCGCCATCCTAAACCGTAATTACGCTTAAGTATGATTAGCAGTTACTACCCGCTACACCGTAGTTACGTATGCATATTTGCAGTTACTGCCGACTATAACCTACTTACGCTGGCACGCTTAACCGCAGTTACGCTTAATTATAATTAGCAGTTACTGCCGTAGTTACGCGGGCACCTTCAACGGCGGTTAAGTGTAACCGACACCCTAAACCGCAATTACGCTTAAGTATGACTAGCAGTTACTGCCCATTACACCGTAGTTACGCGGGCACCTCTAACCGCGGTTAAGTGTAACCGACATCCTAAACCGCAGTTACGCTTAAGTATGATTAGCAGTTATTGCCACTATACCCTAGTTACGCGGGCACCCTTAACTGCAGTGAAGTGTAACCGGCATCCTGAACCTCAATGAGGCGTGAGTATGATTAACGGTTACTGGCAACTACACCTTAGCTGCGCGGGAAGCCTGAACCGCAGTTAAGTATGACCTCAGTCACACTTAACTATGGTTAAGACTGCCGGTGTAACCAGGGTATTAGTTTGGTTCAAAAGGATGAACTGTATATACCTTTCGGAGAGGACAAATCCGTCGTCCACGATGGTAGGAACCGTTTGCTCCGGATTAATCTGAAAACAAAAAAAACACACACACACACACACAAAACACACACACACACACACAAGCGATGAACATGATGCGATAACAATAAGTGATAAAAAAAACGCCACTTTCCTTTACTATTGTGGCAAAGGCGGTGGTAGCAAATAATGCGGTGCAGCGTTGAGCTAGATTCGATCGCAGCGCCGCCGTATCTGGCGTCGCGTCAACCCCAACACCATAACTCCGGGAACGAGACACTTAGACCTGTCTGCTCTGTTCCATGGGCGCCGCCATGTTTGCTTATGCTGACGCCACGACACAGTAGGGGGGCTGCGCTTCTTGCAAAACTGTTTCTTATTTTTTTATTTTTGAGCATATCGTACTGCAATTACGTCAGAGGTGCAGTCATGAAGCTCCAGCAACACCTATGCTAAAAGTGCTGTAAAAAGCAAAAATCTTATTTTATGCGCAGCCCCTTACTTCACAATAGCCTGTGTTTGAGGTTATTATACGAGATTCTTATCGCTGGGGCACCAAGGTGAAAAAAAAGAAAAAAAGAGCGCGCGGCTATTTACCGTTTGACACAGTTTCCCGCTTCGCGCTGTTCTTCGTCGTACCAGTACCGTAGCTTTTCGAGGACTTAATTTGAAAGAAACAGAACACGACCACGAGGAAACGGGCGTTTGGCCCAAAGACGTGGGAAAACGTTTCGGTGCCGATAGCAGATACATGAAAGCGATAAGGGTGTTGTTCCCTAATGGGGAAGCAGCCCAGCGGACAGTTCACTGCGGGCTGCTAATCCTTTATAAAGCGTGGTTAAAAATTTCTTCCCTAAAGTTTGGGTTTTTTACAGCGGAGCTGTTAAGGGCTAGTTTCCCCAGGATCGTGTCCCCCGCAAAGAAATGAAGACACCGAACTCTGGACGCCTACCGCCATCTATGAGCGACGGCGGCAAGCCACGTATCTGGTCGCCGCCGTCGCTCATAGATGGCGGCAGCCTTTCCACTCTGGCTGGCTGACTTGCGGCCGGCCATTACTTTTCATTGTACAGTTCCGCTGGACCTCCTCCTTCACCAGAGTGGAAAGGCAGGAAGGTTTCTTGTCCGGGGGCGGCTCCTAGTCGGTGGTTTTCACTTTTCCCCAGTGTCGATAAAACCGTGCTGTTGGTGTATTTTTCGTGGTTTCTCGGAAGACACCGAAATCACGGAACCCAAACCATAAGCGAACCACCCACCTTTAGGAATTCCGGCTTCCTCTGCTCGCCCTTGAAGATGTCCAGTTCTTTCAGCGTGAGATCCAGGTTAATATGTCGGGCGACCATTCGCACCACGCGACTTGGAACACTCGACTCGAAGTGGTACAGTTCGACGGGCATGTTGTCCCTGAGAGAAGCTGGTGGCCTATCCTTTCCGAGTAGAAGGCAGGCTGAAGAGCTGGTGGCCTATCCTTTCCGAGTAGAAGGCAGGCTGAAGACTGCATTCCTCTGCCTTCCTTGCTTCGCGAGGGAATCTCGCCTTTCTCCGATTGATTAAACCACGTGATGTTTCTTTTGAATGACAGTGCTGAATTAGTTCCGGAAGATTCGATTATTTTTAGTAGCGAGCCTGTTCTTGATTTTGCCCCTTGCTTATCAATAGATTTCGCTTCGTCTCAAGAGGTCAATGTTCTGGGATGTACCGGCGTGATGGCGTGACTTTACAAAATTACTTTCTTATGTGAATTACTGAGCCGGCAAAGCATTCTACGACAGCCTGGCAGTGCTGGGTACAGCTTACTGGGTCTGCGCATATATGAGGCAAGGGATTGGTTTGCAGCCCTCAGTTACGCATTGATTCTCAGTTTATTTATTTATTTAAATACCTTAGGAACCCTGAGTCAGGGTATTACATAATGGAGTGGGTTAATAAAATAGCGAGGTTAACCTTTGTTAGAACGAATCTATGTCTTGAACCGAGACGATGGCTTTGTCCAAGCCGTTCCAGTCCACATATTTATCCGGGAAAACAATTTAAGGAATGCAGGAATTCGAGTGAAAGGAAATCCAACTTTTGCATGGTGATCAACGCAGAGTGATATGCGATGAGGAAGCAAGATGAATGAATTGTATGGATGATCATTGAAGTAAAACCCGTGGAAAAGACATAATTAACCGACGCGTTTGCGTCAACACAAAGGGGTTAGTGATACATTTTGTTTAAGTTCAGTAACACTAACAAACCTAGACTATTGAGACGTTATAAAGCGAGCGGTATAATTTTTAACTGATTCTAGGTATTTAAGATGGGGGGGGGGGGGGGGGGGGGTCCCAGGCTGACGATGCATATACTAGTTTCGAACGTACTAATGTGACATTTGCAAGTCACTACACAGATGGGAACGCGAGATGAAAATAACAGCGCAAAACACCTAGAGCGCGCTTTGAGTCGGAAATTATAGTATTACTATGGGTTTTTCAAGAAAGGTTGTGAGTGAAGTAAACGCCAAGATACTTGTAAGTCGACACAAAATCAATATTAAGATTGCCAACAGAGAAGGAAGAGTGAAAATGTTGACGAGTTCGATAGAAGGAGAGACATTTGGATTTTGCTATATTTAGTAGCATCTGCCACTTTGAACACCAATCGTTAATTCGGTCTAGATCAGCCTGTAGGTTAAGCAAGTCATCTGTGTTAGCTATGGATCTGTAGACTACACAGTTATCACCAAATAGGCGAACATTAGAAGAGAATGACAGAGGGAGATCATTAATATACACGAGAAAAAGTAAGGGCGCAAGAATAGATCCTTGCGGTATACCGGAGGATACAGGAGCGCTTCGGAAACGTTGTTAATTTGCAGATGCTGGCTTTGAGAGGTGAGAAAACCTTCAATCCAGGCTAGAATGAAAGAGTCAAAGACAGTGTGGACAGCTTTGCTAGTAGCAGTTTATGAGAAACTCGATCAAAAGCTTTAGAAAAAATAAAAAAAATGGCATCAACTTGAACAGTTTCTAGAGAAAAATGAATATCGTGACAGAAAGTGGCAAGCTGTGTTGCATGAACGGTGTTTCCTGAAGCCGTGTTGATTGAAAAAAAAAAGAACTTATTCTGTTCCAGGAATTGCATAACTTGAGAATGAATGACATGTTCCGTGAACTTACAGCATACAGAAGTTAATGATATTGGCCGGTAATTTAGAGGGGAGTGCGCATCGCTACATTTGGGAACCGGAATGACCTCATCATAAATGCATCCGTGCGAGCGAAGCCGAAAATACAAGCAAGAGCCTGCTGCCCTGAACGATGATTTTACTGCTCGAGCGTGCATGCTGGGCGTACACACCCCTCGGCATAGACGTTCCTGTAACTTCTGCCTACTTGTACTTAAAGTGAAACAGGGCATAATCACTGCTCGAATACTGCGACTTTCACTTCACTAGCGCGGTCATATCTGTGGTGGTGTTCAGACAGCGGTGATCTTGCCTGGCCTAAAACAAAATATGGAACCCTTTTTTACAAGAATTGCGTAAGGAGCGACAGTCGTGTCCTGTCTTCGCCTTCCGCTGCTCTCCGCGACGTGGAAAATCAAGTCTAACGACCTTGTTTCCTAAAAACAGCTAAATCCGTAAAAACAACAACACGATATTTGTTTCAATAAAACCGTCTCAAACTGCGCCCCAGATGCTGCGAGGGAAATCCTCAGAACCAATTGCGAAGGCTAGAATCTGGCTCGAGGTTGAGACAACGCCAAGCGAGCAAGTATCTGTCACACTTCTGAGATCACAAGGCATCCAGTCGCGTCTTGTCGTCTGTGATCACATATTTTTTTTAAGCATCAAAAATAACAATTATTTAAAGAACTGAAATTAATTTACAATTACTGTACTCAAACATAACGTCTCACAACGCTTTGATACCTGTAAATATGTTTTAATTATTGAAACATCCAACATTACAAGGTAGTATCATTCTCTGCCGAGTCTGCTTTGAGGTCCTGAAGGAAACTTTTATGCGACGTACAATCTCGATATGATTTATTTCGTCTTGATGCAGTCGAGTAAATGCATGAATGGACAAATAAGCGTAAACATTCAATAGAACATCAATCATAAAATAAACGAGATCCTTAGCCGAAAACTGGGTCATGGACCTCCTTCGTGCTAGAATGACGTCGTGAAGAGCAGAATGTAGACCAGATGGACCAAGTGTACAAGTCCGACGAACATGCCAGCCGCCTGAAAAAGAAACACGTGTTTTCTTTAGGAGTGTCTGGGTTGGACCGACGTCTTTGAAGAGGATCATCACAACAAAAAGCAAAACACAGCGTCACGATGAAATCAATCGTCCTAAATCGTTAATCATACGATTCGAACCGCTAAAAAAAATTTTCTCCATTTTTTTCAACCATCTGTCTTTCTGCCCTCAATCCTAAAAAAAGTGGCGCAAGTTATTATAAGGATATGTTCCTCCTCGCCGATCCCTTTGCTCAAGAATGGCGTCGGGCAACCAGGAAGAAAGAAGCAGCGGGGGGGGGGGGGGGGGGGGGGGGTCGCGTTACTTTTTCGTTTACAGGTGTTTTAACCGTCCCTATACAGTGTAATCCACTTATAACGATACCACATATAATGATGTAGAGCTTATATATAATAATGTTTCTGGAGGACCACGCGTTTTTGCGTCGGGAATCGAGTTAAGATAAGACGATAATCGGTTATAACAATTGCAGTTTATGGGTGTTTTCTCATTATTGTTATAAGTGGACTGCACTGTGGTTCCAATGGCGGTTCACATTGTGTGACGGGTAGCGCCATCTTATGTGAAATTTTGCAACTCCGAGACGTGCCGCGTCCGCAATCATTGTACCCGATCTCGAGCTGAAACGTCAGTTTCCCGCCGAACTGTGACCAGCCGACCGAGGCGCTCCCTGTTCACTACCCTGGGGCTATTCCTCTTATTTCTTCGCTGCATTACAATAAGGACAACCTTGTGTCCGACCGTATTTTATGTCCTGCCCAACGAATCGGAATGCAATGTGGATTTGTAGATATTAGAAAGTTCGAGACATTTCTTAAAAGCATCACCGCTCGATCATTGCGCTGTTTGTTTGTTTTGCACGCGAATATTCCGGTCGCCCATGCGACTACCGAGCCCGCAAGATCTCGGATCTCGCACGCGATACTCGAATTAAAAACTAAAAGTTTATATGCATGTGTATGTTTAGACCGCGGAAAGTTAATCAGCCCCCGTGGGCATCCGCAAAACGTATCCGCTGTTGATGAGGAATCTAGGAAGTGCACTATACTACTGCCAGCCTGAGGTCTTTAACCTGCACCACACAATAATAATACGTGCACCGATACGATGCTCATCCAGATCGAAACAGGCAGGGATTGGGATTCAACTATGAATGTCTGCGTTCTGCAAAGCGAGCCTAATTCGCCTCCCGTGTTATACGAGCTGCGGGGTGTTAATGCGCTCGGCAAACGATTCCCCTGACTTGCTTCTCGTAAACAATGAAGTAAGAAATGTGGTCGTGACTCCTCAAAGCCACCGACTTCCGCGTTTCGCTCACCATGCCACAAAAGGCATCAGGGTTGGTCGGCAGGTCGTAGGTCATGATGGCCACGGAGCCCATGAAGTACAGACACATGGCACTCACCTGGTACAGTCTGTACTGAAACATGAACACAGATAGAAGTGGTATAAACAAGCGACTCGCTGAGCATCATTAAGAGATAGCCTATGTAGCGTTTTATAACCACAGGTTTAAGCACTCATTTTTTGGGATCCCTAGGTCGATTCATATTAAAGTACTGCATGGAATTTCCTGCAAACCATATAGACGGTATGACTAATCTCTGTTTGGGTGGTCGATTAATTTTTTACTGATATTCTGCCTTCATTACGAGAAGGTAACTGGTACGCGATTCAAATAGCGGAAAAAATATTTCCAACTTCATAACCAGGGACATTAGTGGATTAACTCTTTACAAATTAAACGCGTACGTGTTACCGCCTTCGCTTATATGATCACATAATTTAACTAGCCTTATGTTAGGTTGCATGAACCAGAAAATGCATCATTCGAAGTAATTATACTAGAACAGCCTACACATTGCTTGCATTGACACACCAACTGTCATTGTGAAGGTCTCACTGCCGGGCGCGTACCTTTTGCATCCTACATTTCGTATCGTCAAATTCATTCTTCTTTTGAAGCACGAAATAGAAATGACCACCCAGCATGGTGTCATGGGGTCATGTACGGGTCATGTACAAAACATTTACTGGACGAGAACGCCTGCACAAGTTCATGGGTCGGACAGTTATCGTTCACATCGCGCATCCAAGAAGTTTTAAAGACCCTTATTACTTGGTGTACAACTTTGGCAACCAGGCGGCGTAATATTTGGTTAAATTGCACTTATGTAGTGAGGTACCTGCAATGAGCAGCTTCGCATTTTGAGCGCTAAGTGGCGACTGTTTAGCTGTACGTTGGGAAAGCGAACACCAAGCGGAGGTTATCGTGCTGGCGACGTAATTCGAGAGAAGAATAACGAATAAAAATACCTTTAGTGTGAAAGAATACAATGGCAGTCTGGTTACTAAGAATCATAAGCATAAAGTTTTGTTATTCTTTTCTTTGCGACCTGCAGGCCGGAAGGTGAGCACCAAGTGGTCAAGGGGGGCTTCCATCACACGCATTTTAATTATTAGAAATATACTATCAAAAGGCATATCCTAAACATTTTGCAAATCAGGAATCAGTTAACTGTTGAAAATTAAAAGCATTGTCAAGAGGGCGCCAACCGCCGCCCAATTAAGATGACTCAGCCGAATTCATACATCCATTCATCTATTGCTGATGATGCTATTTGGATAGGTGGCGCAAGCTGCCGCCCCATCCAAAGTGAACAGCCGCAATGGACCCAGCCATCCATCCACGCGGAAAGCGGGCAGTTGAACTATGGGGCCTGGAACCCGCCTCCGAACGGTGTGTTTGCCGCGTCGTTAAAAGTGGTCCCTCGGTTTCCGCCTCATGGCGTCATCGAAGTTTCGTGTTTTCGCCGGTCGTGACCCTGTCGTTTTCACAGCAACGGTGTTGAATGCGGCAGTCTGTTCTACAGTAGGCCGCTCTCAAGCTTGATAGTTCACGGAAGCCTCAGCAGCCACGTGATGGGATGCCGCCATGTCGGCTTCTGTAACATCACTTGTTGTCACTTTGGGACCACTTGGAATGCTTGGGCGGAATCAGGTGCCGAACATAACCGTCGGAAGCGCGTTTCAGGCAGTTGAAGTTGGAGCCGTTCGACCCGACCAAAGCGCTTACGTAGATTGTCAGAGGCAGCACTTCTGCCACTGCCTGGGAGAGCAGCCCAGAGAGGAGGAAGTGTCCGCCATTCACGGAGTAGCCGAAGCAGCAGGCGTACAGGAAATGTTGCGACATGGATGCGACGCCGAGTATCATGTAAGTCATGAAGTTGCCTAGACCTGTGGCCTGCGTGCGCCAGGAAGAGCGCGCGCGCCATTGACCGCCACATCAGGGGATTTGGAAGCACACATGCTTTCATATAGATGGGACACAGCATACAAGCACGACGCCGAAGACCGATCGCATCTAACATTTACATGCGAGTTAACTACCAGCGTTCGTACCTCACATGAGCACATCACATGACATTGGTTGAGTTATACATCAACATGCGGTTTCAAACAAGCCTGCGTGTGCACGTGCAGATCCGACAGCAGCACCATCGTAGTATATAGCGTGGCACCATACAGTTGATTTGGTGTATGTGGTTAGTTCTCTTTGCTCTCTTTGCTACCCCTGGTCCTCATACCCTTGATGTTGATGTATTTTAGTAACAAGTCATTGTTGTATTGTCTTTATGAGGCATATAAATTCGCCCTCTCATAACATTGGCAATCTCGATGACAGCCTTTCTCGCTCTCTAATCGAATCTAAGCTTCCGAATGCTGGCGGAAACGACACTATACTGCTCTGCTTTTAACAACCGCACTATCTTTCTGACGTCATGAGAAAAAAAAAAAAAAACTACCGGAGAGGTTTGTTAAAAAAAATATATATATAGTACCCACAAAAACAATGCTCCGTCTAACGCCCGCTGCGTCTCGGTACATATTACACATTTAAAGGGGCGTCCTCTTTTGTTGCTGGAGACTATATTTTCGGCAATCCTTATGCAGCAAGAGCCTTAAGGTACACCATATTTGGAAAAGAAATTATTCGATTTCAATTACAATTACTCTTGGTTAAAAAGTATTCAATTAGATTCCCCGATTGCTTGAGAGGAAAAGTAATTAGCCGTTACTTGAAAAAGTAACCGTTACTTTTCCGATTACTTCAGAATTTCAGGGAGACAAATTTTTCAGCCGGTTGCCAATATTGGAATAAAATGTCGTAAACTATAAACTATTTCTCTTCGTCATCCACCGATATTGACACACGATGCTTCTGTCAAAGGCTTCATTCGAGGATTCCTTGGTAGCAAACATGGACACACAAAGGATGCCATCAGGAAGCGGAGGAACAAATAGTAAATGTTACAAGTAATTTTAGTACTTCAAAAAGTAATAAGATGACTTCTGATTACCCCCTAATAAATATATTCAACTGATTACAAGATTAATCCAAATAGTAATCGATTACGAGTAATTTGATTGCTTGTGATGACTACCCATACAAGTCTGTGCAGCAATCGAGAGCATAGTATATTTTTCGGTGAAGGAGTTTCATTAGTGAGGTTTTTTTTATTGCGTATAGGAGTCTACGGCAAGCGCTGTGCGTTTGCGTTAGCGTTGCGTGTTTCCCACTGCTCGTGGAGTATACCGCTCTCCGCGGGAGTTCCAACACTGAGTTCATGTAATAACTTTGGATGCTATTCGTCCGGGTCATCTTAGAATAAGGACGGTAGTGTACTATCACGATTCATATGAGCGCGAACACCTGGTCCTATCAATGCCCCCTGGCGATTGCCCTTTGAAGCATCAGTGCACCTCCAGACATATCGTGTCTAGCGGTCGGCTCACCACTCTGCACTTCCACATCGTCTGCATGCAAAAAGAAAAAAGCGCGAAAAAAGCGACTAGGACATCCAGCGTGTGTCTTCGTCCTCGTCGTTTTTATCGTGCTGTTTTGTATGATGAAGGGTATCACCCACGCTCGCACCACGCTAACTTCTTGCCTGTGCGCATTGGTGACCCTTTGCTCTCGCGAAACTCTCGTGAAGTAAGTAATAAGCGGTCTTAGTTAATTGTTTTGACACCGTGGATAATAATATGATGCATGCTTAAAGGCGCCGACGAAGTATCGAGTATTGTTATCGGAGTCATGAGAATAATCTACTAAAACTTCCTAAGAAAAAATATTACGCTAGAAATATTTATACAAGTAATTCGTTCTGGCGCACATTGCTAGAGAAAAATGCGCTTCGACATTGGTGAACAGTTGCGCAGTTTTGCCGACTGTTTTTCGCCAGCAGACGACTCGGAAGTGCAGAGAAGTGCGGCGACCGCTAGAGGCGATATGTCTCGACCGCAAGGTGCACTGATGCTTCAAAGAAAAATCGCCAGGGGGCACTGATAGTACCGTTGGGTTGAAGTTGAGAGGCTGAAGATACAGAATATTACAGTTGAGAGAGCTAGTAAATACAAGTATCTAGGATATGTGATCTAGGTTATGTGATGGTGCAGAATATCTCAGAGAGCATGAAAAGTATATAATAGGTAAGGGCAACAGAAATGCAGCTGTAATGAAAAATAGAGCACTTTGGAATTACAACAGGTATGAGGTGGTGAAAGAGATTTGGAAAGGGGTCATGGTGCCTGGCTTGACTTTTGGAAACGCGGTGCTATCCATGAAATCCGAAGTGCATGCGAGACTAGAAATAAAACAGCGCGGAGTAGGTAGACTGGCTTTGGGGGCACATTGCAAAACGCCAAACCAGGGAGTACAAGGAGACATGGGATGGGCGTCATTTGAGAGCAGGGAAGCGGTGAGCAAGATAGAATTGGAGGATAGGTTGAGGCGAATGGATGTGGAGCAATGGGCACGAAATGTTTTCAGCTATTTATACATGAGGAGTGTAGACACAAAGTGGAGACAGCGCACTAGGAAATTAAGAGGAAAGTTTTTGGGCTATAGCGAACATGGCCAAGAATCCGAGACATTCGGTTTAGTTCCATTCCGCGACGACATGTGGCGCCTCAGCCCCGAGCGAAATCACATTTCCAATTTCCAATGTGCCCTCCGTTTCCGCCCGCACCGCCAATCTTATCTTCGAATCCGGAGAGGAGACATCGTAATGCAGTAAAGGCATAGCACTGATAACACGCTCAAGACAGCTCCGAACCACGGAACCTCTCAAGGTCACAGCTGGGCGCGCCTAGCGCAGACGTGTAATGTGTAATTGCTTCTCCCGCAGCCAGTGTGCATTTTAAAGTGATAAGCTAACGCTCAAGACTATTGCTCCATCGCTAAAAATCCAAATTTAAACCGAGCAAAGTTAAAGCTATACTTCGTCTTAGGGTGCCTCAATGTCCTTCTGTTTAGGGTGATGCGACCCTTTGTAGTACTCGATGCCGACAGCACGCGCTCACGGGTAAAATACGAAGAAATCGACGAAAACAAAATGTCGCTATATCTTAATCAGCGCCATAAACGCGTGCAGGGACACACTCTTTCACGCACTTCTGAACAAAAAACAAAATAAAAGTGTGGGACAAAATGGCCACCTGTCTCCACCCTAAGCAAAGCGCACATGAAGGCACCCTACTTCGTCTCACCTTAGCATGGACTGGCCCCAGAGGCTGCTCTAGCGCGATACGGTAGCCTTGATTGGCGTTCGCGCCACACGATGCCCTCGTGCAGCCGCCGAGGTGTCGTCGAAAGCAAATAGTTCGCGCTTTTAGCACGCGACCAACAATAGCCCATGCTAAGGTTAGACGAAATATTGAAGCGCGAGCCGAATCCGCTGCGTTTTCCTACCTCGCACCGGCGGTAGTGCATCGGATATAAGGCAAAACGATGCTAAAAGTGCTCTGTTTCAGGCTGGGCTTTCTCTTATCACTGGAGCCTGTTAGAGAGGGTCTTCTGGCTTAGGGCGCCTTGGCTCAGGCTAAACTTTGTCTCACCTCAGCATGGACTACTGTTAGCCATGCATGCTCAAGGCGCGAGCCGTTTCCTTTGAATCACACCTCGGTGGCTGCGCGAGCGCTCGGGCAGGGAGTACTTCAGTCGAGTTTGTCAAGGCTAGCCGCTCGCGCTTGCACAACCTTTTCAGTAGTACTTCGCAGTCTCACGCTAACATGGACTAACCACGGAGGCTGCGCTGGCGTGAGACGGCAGCCCTGACTGCGTATAGATTGGCATCCTCGCAGCACGAGTGCTCGCGCAGCTGCCGAGGCGTCATCCAAAGCGATTACCCCGGGCTTTTACCGCTCATTCACACTGGAAGCGGATCCGCGTTCGCAAAGCGGTTGCGAACGCGGTTGTATAAAAATCCAGTGCAATTGCACGCGCACTCGATGACATCAAGTGCGCGTGCAATTGTACTGGATCTTTATACAACCGCGTTCGCAACCGCTTTGCGAACGCGGATCCGCTTCCAGCTTGAATGAGCGGTTATTGCGCGTGGTTGCTAAAAAGATACAAGTATAGCTTTGGCCGTGATAGGGTGGAATATGCACGTCAGCTATTTCTTTGTCTGTTTGTTAACAAGCTCACTATGGTGGGTGACAGCTCAAGAGAGCAGTGGAAGCTCCGCCTTCAGCGCGCGCTCCTTGCCTTCTGCCGCGCTTTGGCTGCGCGTGCACACTTGTGCTATCAAGGCCACAAAGCTCGTGCTGGAAGCGGAGCTTCCACTGCACTCTTGAGCTGTCACAGACTATAGGGAGTATTCACTGTCGGCCATAGCTGTGTGCGCGAATGCTGAGCGCGTGCTGATGGCGAGCTTCCACAGTTTTTATGCAACGTGCATTCTGCACCATCAAAAGTGCCGATCTTATCAGCCAATTGATGTGAGCTCGTTCTGAGCATGCGCTCTGAACAGCACCCACAAATATGGCGTCTAGTGAATACTGCCTATAGAGTCCAGTATTGGCGAACCCCCTGCGCGCTTCCGGATCTGAACTTCTTTCCGTTTTGTTCCACGTCGTTTTGCTTCCTGTACAGCTCGCAAGTACAAGGGTCGTTTGATAAGTTTGGTAAATTTATACGATGAACAATTCAATGGATGACGCCATGGCTGGCAAGTGTCATTCTTCAAACTAACCCAGGCTAGCTTCCAGACGGGAGCGAAGCGCTGTTCATGTTTGGCAGACGGTTGAAGCGAACACTGTAACGCTTGCCACAACAATGAAAAAAAAAAAAAAAATAACCAGCCCTGTGCAATGATCAAGCACGTTTGTTTTAAAAATGTTAACGTCCACGTATCAAAACCGAGTTGCATGAAGTTCATAGGGACCCTTATTCAACGT